AACTAGTCGATGGAAAAAATTGAATGTAACTTCGACAAAATTTTGTATATTCGAATTAAAAAGAAAGAAAAAAAATCATATGATTCTCTTGATAAATTAAAGCACAAGATTTTTGTTGAAGACAATGTTATAGAAGATCCAATGCAATGGTCTAAGTATTTGTCCTCTCGAACGTTTGTAATGATAAATGCATGAACAATTTCACGTAACAAACGTGCTTGTTTCTTAATGGTTGGAACTTCGATGAATAAACATAATAGCTGGGGACACAGGTTGCTCGGGTTCATGAATTCGGAGGTCAGAATTGTTCGACGAACTCGGATCATTCTCAGCAGGAAATGAGACGTCCGTGGCGAAACGTCGAAGCCTTCCGGATCCGAAGTCCGGTTGTCTTCTAACCGATGACAAAATTAAAGATCCCCGTTGACTAAGTCCGCGTAATCCTCGAGGCACCCTTCTTTAATCCATCATGCTCGTTAACCCATTCGCGGCGAGTGCCGGGACTCCCGAACCTGTTGCTTTAAACAAGATGTACGCTGAATAATGGATATTCCTAAGTAGTTCGAAGCCCGCTTAAACCGGCATTCCCCAGCTGTGTTTGTGCATTCACGGATAAACACGGAACCAGGTTAACTAACACTCCGATAAATTAATCGCGTAACGCAAGCTTCGCTCTTTGCGTCGATATTTTCAAAAACCCTTCCGGCAGGACCAAACTAATTAAGTACTAATTAATACGCTGTAACCGATCGATACATATTATTGATTATTATTAGACTGTGGATTTTTATGCGAATTAATAATTGTGTAATTTAATTGTAAGGTACGTAAGCGATATGAAAGTATTCTGAAATTCGTCTCATGCTTCTAGAATTTTGTTTCTGGTGAGGTACTTTGGTCGAAAATGTATAAAATCCACAGTCTAGTTATTAAGTTCCGAGTACATTCTATCGTAAACTTAAAAATCGTTTTACTAAAAGCTGGTAAAAGTTTTTCCAATTTTGTGCAAAATTTTTCACATTTTCCTCGGTTTGTTGAGCAACTTTTTCTGTCTATATATATATAAATATGCGGCGTATAATCTTCTTTATTTTTATTTGAACAACAATATCGAAACCACTTAAGTAAAAGATAATTTTGTCAGTTTCTAGAAACTTCTTTCTATCGCTGCTCTAATTCAATACTGAGATATGTCTAAATAACGAAGTTTTTTTTTTTAAAGAAAAAGGCATTTAAAGTTTTATTTTCCCGATAATAATTTGGTTTTTGAAAATAATTAAATATTATTTCCACTAAATATTGTACTAATATATATTGAGAAAAATAAAATAAAATAAATATAATCAAAGAAAAGTATATAAATATAGATATTTTAATATCTCAATATTTTTTCAGACACACACAAGGAATGTAGAAATGGAACCGGTGAGATATGGGTGATTAATGCTTTTGCCTTATACATTTATAGATATGTCAGCATTGCATTATCCAGATAATACCATTTTTGCTATGAAATAGTAGAATATCTCCAAATCACGTTTTTCATCAAATCTCTCAGTATTGAATTTGAACAACGAATTGTGTGATTTAGTGTTAATATGCATTCGACAATTTGAAAGTTCGTCGTTATCGTAAAAATATAGACAAAACTATAGATAAAATAAGCAACAAAATTCGAAAGCGCTGCGTCGTTTTCAAACGATTGACCTGATTGATTATAGTCCATCGGGTTCGGATCCGATTAACTTACGAAATTGCGAACAACTTGTTCGTCCAGCAAATTGACGAATTTCAGTGCACCATACGCAAGTGGCACGTACGTGCTCGCGATTAATGCACCGTGTTATGAATTTTTCGAACACAACCCGCCCCGGACGCAGAAGGAAACAGCCTCGAAAAAACCGTAGACCCGACGTCGAGATTGACGTTCGTGATTACAAGTAATAGTCGAAGTTGGCGGGGCCGAAAAATGCTGAGTGGTATTTCGCGTCGTCGATAAACTTGCAAAATTATACGTGAAAGGATTTCGGTGTTTTTAGGACACGATAAAAACGTTTGATTCGCTCGCGGCCGGGAAACTAATGAAACCCGGACGAATACGATCGACGGGGCCGCTTTGTTCCTGACGTTTGTTCGCGGCTCAGCGATGTTTAGAAATATTTCTGCGCTGCGTGCGAAAGATTCGTCTCAATCAGAGAAAATGGAAGTCGATCGTTTTCGGCAGAGAATTTTCAGCAAAACTGCTGGTCGGTTGATCGCGGCCGCGGAACGACTGATACAGCGAGAAAGAAGCGGCCCGTTTGTCCGTTTAATTACTCGACCCCGTTGTCCGAGCTGCGAGTGCGACTTTAATTACGGGCAAAATGAGGAGACGGCCGCGTTATATCAAAATTAATCTTTATAGAATGCCTCGAGGTTCCCCCTCCTCCCTCGTGTGGCAGCGACATGGCAGGGGAAAGGGGCGGATGAGCAATGCGATAAAGAGCGCAACAAAAGTGCGTGCAACGCCGGAGAAAAGAGAAAAGAGAGCCGTATGTAGCGCCGGTCGAGCTTGATTTTACACGAATATCCACCGAGAACACTCTCGAGGCGAGACAAAAGGGGAAAAAGTCGTGTGCTTTTCCGCCTGTAATTGGCACTCTCGCGAAAGGTACATCTACCGTTTTCACAGGTGTCACGCGTGATGCCAAGAGACTTTGTTCTCAAACAGCAACCCAGCTTTTTTCCGTACCACCGACAAAGACTGGTCTGCATGCATCGAACTATCTTATCAGGTGAAAAGACTACCGAGTCTTTGAATGAATCTCATTGCTGGTTTATTCGGAAACGAATGAATGACCTATAATCCAAGCGGCGCAAGTACCATTTTCGTAAAGTTTGACTTGTGTCATAAAATGTAATCTGTACGTGAAAGGATGTTAATACTTAGCAAACCGAATAGGAAGATCGCCCCGTTCTAAATAAAGTCGCTTGATAACCGAATGGGGAGGTCTCCCACTTTTACCTTATCAACGCGTGACCCTCGTTCTGCTTATTTTTCTCTTATCGATCAGTCTTGACCTGGAGTTTTTCGCAATTCATTGAATATTTTTTTATTGAAAATTTTTTTTAGTGACGCAGTTTTAATTAAACTCTGTTAACACTTTGACTGCCGCGTCAGTTACATATGAGTGACAGAATTGTTTAAAATTAAATTTCTAAAAATTCATTTTTCCGCTACTCGACATTATAATCTCGAAGAAGTAATTGATGCAATTTATTCAGTAAAATATTTTAATTCCATGAAATTGATGAGGTTTTTAGCGCGTGAAAATGTTAAAAAGACAAGCGAAATAAATGATAAAGTTACTTTGAATTAACTGAATTATCAGAACGATAAATTTAGTCTGTAAACAATACGCATGCCAGTAAACAATAATATTTCGTCGTGCCGAAACGAGGAACTATTTTAGAATCGTCGTCTGTCTAATTGAATTCATAGTACTTTTTCCCGAAATACCGCATTTGATTTTCAATTTTGAGAATATTTGACGTGAAGGATGATGATCTTTCTTGTAGATGCTGCTTCACGATTTTAAGTTCGACGCATCCTCGCCACTGTAACACTTATCGCGAGGCCATATTTATCATATTGTAAATTGCCATGTTTGTCATATGGAAAATTGCCAACTTTGACGAAATGCACGGACGAAATTCAACGGATTGAAGATCGATTCTTCCCAGCACTTTAAAGTAACCCACCGCGAGGAGGTTGCCGGTTTGCTTTTGCACATCGCGTGTGTTTGCCATAAATTGAATATCGAGAAACATTCTCCGAAACTAAAGGATCTGAGCTTCAATTTTTAAAAAAAGAATCATCATCCTACGATAATTTTTCACGGTATTATCGTCAGTCAATGTTGGCCAATTCTTGTCGAAAATCGTTCGATGCTATAATTTTCTTTGGACAGTGTAAAATTTATTTACGGTTGGAAATGTGAGGTTCGACGATCTCGATGCTGAAGGGAATAGAAAAGTGAACGGACGCCGACAATTATTCAATTCGTCAGACAATGTGTCGAGTTAGAAGGGAATGCCGATTAAGACAAAAAGAGGATGTCTTCGACGAGTTGGTAACGAGAAAACTCTGTTCGATGTCTGCTGCCGTGGCGGCGGAGGAGAAGAAAGGAGGAGCGCAGGGCGTGGGGGTAGAGAGGAGGTGCAGGAGGAAGAGGAGGAGAAGGAGGGTTCCTCGAGGACATTTGCAAATAATAATGTACCGCTCTTTAATATTCGTCGATCCTCGGCGTCCTCGCACTTTCAACCTCAAGCCCCTGTTCCCCTTCATCTTTTCGTGGATTTCTTCATGCAAGAGCATCTTCTGTGCCGATTCTGACGCTTTAATCTCAAGTATCCAGATGGGATCCACGATTTCGTATATAAGAAAAAGAACGAGCTAGGAGAAGAGAGAAAGAGGGAGAGAGAGAGAGGGGGGGGAGAATGAGAGAGGGTGAACAGAAAGGACACTTTGCAGACAGAATAAAAAGGAGAATATCGGGGGTGGGGAGTCGTCTGAAGGGGTTGGGGAATCGGAGGAACGGCGAAATCGATGGTGGAGACAATTTGTGCTCGCATCACTGTTTTTTGTTCGTCCCATGGCCGTCCATGGGAAAAGGTTAACTTTATAACTTCGTGGAGCAGTCTGCTGCGAAGACGAATTACGCGCGAGTTGATTCGATCGCGCTGAGGAAAAACTTACGGCTGACTCGTGCGCGCTGCTTGCTCCTCCGTTATTAATCCTAAAATCACCGGATAAAACAACTACAATTTACGCTCTGCGATACGACATGCTAAATCGATAATTACTTACCAGCCAGCAGTAAAGGTACGCACAAAAGAACATAATTGATAAACGATCTTTCATAACATAAACGATGGAACCACGGTCTAACAATGAAGGTTGAGACCGAACTCAGTAACTGTGTTACTGACATCAAAGAGATGAACAATATTTATACAAATCCTGTGTCCGAAAATGCTTTATTGCAAATATATAAGTAGACTATGGATTTTATGCGTATTTTTATAGTATAAGCGTGGCCGCAACCTTTCCGGACACACTGTATACAGTAGCTGCCGAAAAAAACAAAATTTTCTCAAAAAGACAAACTGCCATGTTTTTAGTTCTCTCGTTGTTAAGACAAGCGGATTTTTTTCTGTACCTCCCAGTAGACTGCAACAGAATACATATTTTAGTCTTTACCCCTTGCTGGCGGTTCATTTTTACAACTGTAGTATTGACGATGTTTATAAGAATTCCAAGCCTTGTTCATTAATTTTTCAGAACATATTTGTGAAGATATTTCTTGCAGTCTTATTAGCCTTTCCACTGTCTCAGACGTAACAGCAATTTATTTGATTTAATTGCCGGAAATTGAGTAATTAACCCGTTGCCGTACTTTGATGAGTCTGACACGAGTCTGATGGTAATTTCTAGTAATTATCTGATTGGTATGAATGCCACTGTGTTCTTTTAACTCGAAATAAAATTCTGTTCCCTTGTCGTCGATATAGTAAATTGTAGGCGCACAATAAATATACACTTCCGTTTTCTTCTAAGAGATTCTCACGATCGAAAGAGTTCTAATCATTGCAACTGTAACGACAACGGTACGGCAAAGGGTTAAGCGAACGATTTGAACACACCAGGTCAATATTGACCCAGCCACCGCCTGCGAGCGGTGACACCGTATCTACTATTAATAAAATTGTTTCCACTCGAGAATTATGATTTTAAAAATAAATTGGTCCCATATTCGGCAGCATTACCCTATTGGAACCAGAGATTGTTAATTTCGAGAAGAGGTCGGCAGTTTGCAAAACGAAGATTCCTTCGACGAATTCTGTGACGTGGTTTCGATGAAATTTTGCCGGACAACGCGAGGACTGTATTCGCGGCTGAAGTTCAGAGGAGGTGTTCGCGTGCTCGAATCTAGTGTAAATGACTGATCATCCATTGCTCGCGGGAGAAGCGCAAAAGGCGTGAAGCAATCGGCGGCGGTCGGTCGCGTGCGCGCGCGCGCGCGGGCGCGCTCGATTTGCGGGCAGAAGTGGAGATCGTTGGCGCGGTCTCTGTGGCGACATTACGTGGCGTTATACAATATGTTACACTGAAAGCGATAGTCGTTGCACTTTGTGATTTGACCCTTTCCCACACATCCTCTCCACGTCTCGTGCATGCTCGTTGCTCCGTAGAAATTCTCGTTTTCGTTCGGCTTGCTCGCGTTTCGCTCCGTTTGCTATTTTCTGTAGATCTCTATCGCGCGATATCGCGCAGCTCGTTTTTTCCCCCTCCGTCTTCTTTGGACACTTTTGCGCTACACTGACTTGGCACGCGTAAATTATTATTTCTTATTATTTAGTTATTTATCTCTGCCTCTCCTTATTCCGTTCATAATACGGCACTACCTAAATACTCAGTCGGTTTCCGTCCGTTGCTTCGCTTTGTTTCGTGTGTGCCTCTATGTATGCGCGTATGTGTGTGTGTGTGTGTGTGTGCGGCGCGCGCGCGCGCGCGCGTGTGTGTATGTCGGTATGTACAGTCGTCACAAATGCCCGCCGTTGCCAAATTTTAAATGTCCCAGAGCAACGGCTTTGCTCGCTGAATATTAATTTATTTGACCTTCGGGATTAAATTGGATTCCGAAAAGACGAATTAACGTGGATGAAATCGGATAGCAGAGTAATAAATCGTATCGTGTAAATAATCGCCGAGAGAGGCTTCGATTTACTTTAATGTATCGATGGTAATGCTTCGTTTCGAAAAATCTTTAATTTCAAACGGGAACGAATGAATTTCCGTGAAACGATCGCGAAATGCCAGCTTTTCCTGTGAGACACCTAAAATTCGGCACACGCGCGTACACCTTTCCGACTGACTGCACGTGTGAGTGTACGCGTGTACCTTGCCATGTATACAGCGTGCGTACGTGCTACGCATCGTTTTTAACTTCATTCATTCAGTTTGTTCTGTCCGCTTTTAACCGAGTCTGTAATTACAGTTGCGCGAAGGCATTCATTTCGTGTCCTGTTTATCGTATGATCGACACCGTGATTAGGACGACCATTAGCAGCAAGCTTGTCGCTGCGATCGCTGCGCTCGAGTCTGAAACAAAATAGACGAAAAATTAGATGCTGCAGACTATGAATAACATGGTCACGGTAAGAATTTATAGGAATTTCTACGGAATTATCCTTACAGTCTTGTATCGCATAAGAAATGCGCAAATTTTAATAGATTATTTAATATCTTTAGTTTCGATGTTTAACTTGCAATAGGGCAACAAAGTGATACAAGAATGATTACAATAGAAAAATAGTAAAATACACATTTTTCACTGTTCGTGACCACTTTTACACCAGTTCTAGCCACATTTAATACCATTTCTGGTTACTTCAAAAATTTCATATTACACGTATAATAAATTTGTAACGAGGACGGATATCGGCGAATAAAATGCAGCATAATTTTTGAATGAATTTTTGTTTTTTTATATTTTACTTTGGGATATTAGAAAATCTTGGTGTTGCAATATGTAATGATATATGTATAATTATAATGTAAAAATCGTTTTATTTTCTTTATTTCAAAAATTTTTCTTTTCTCTATGTTTTCGTGGTTTCTTTCATTCTTCGTACTTTTCTTTTCTTCAAATTTCCTTCTTCTTGCTTCTAATCTGCTTCTGTTATAATTTATATATTTATTATTATTTATTATAAGAAAAACATGCAATTCCACAAGTTCGTTATTAAAAACAGTTTATGGTGTAGGAAAAATGATTTCAGCATTAATTGCACGTATCCACTAGAGACAATATGTTTACTATTGGTTTGAGGTACCGCCGATCGGTAGAAACTGTAGCCAACTGCGAAGAAGATACGAATAATAATAATGCAGACGACTAGAAACGGTGCACTAGCCACAACCGGTACATCATATCCTAATTCATTCGCCACGTGTCAAGATGCGGAAGTGAGTTTTAATTACAAGTGATTCCAAAAATTCGGAGCACGTCGCCGGTATGAAATAATTTCTGGAAACGTCGTCCCCCGTGGACGGTACTTGAAGCACTTCGGATTTTCGAGCGGAATGTTCAAACAATTTGGTTTAAAGTACAAACGGTTTTGTTCAGGAGTTTCGTCGACGCGTTCTGGCCCGAGTGTGTTAAGGGAGAGTCCGCAGCGCGAAAGTTCGTTCGGCTCGAAGTCTGTAAGTACAATTAATTCGGATGGTTCTAACAAGGAACAACACCGGCGTGTACGTCGCCGATTTTGACGGTGCTTTGCTTGGCCGTTGCTTAATCAAATTGCCGAGCAAGCGGTTTTTTCAAATACGAAACCATTCTATAATATTGTCTCTGTTAGGATGGTTATGTATCTAAATAACACAATGCTTACATAACAGAGCCAGAATATAGCACAAAATAAATGTTCGGATAAGGGAGTCTCTACAGTATATTCGTTACTTTGAAACATCAAGCCTTGTCCAGCTTTTCAGCGTTCCAGGTCGCTGTGCGACGTTCGTTTCACCGTCGCGCGGCCACAATGGGAGGAAGGTATAGGGAATTGTTAGCTTAGCCTCGTAACTTAACGTACGTGCTCCACATATTTAGTTTGTTGGGATTGTTGTACAACCCAGGCGCAGTGGTTCGGAAAAGGGTGTCTGTTTTCCCTAATGAAAGACCTCTCGTACTTACGCATGGCTCTCGGAAAGGTTACATCCGACAAAAGTAGTGCGTTGATAAAAAAAGAGAGAGAGAGAGAGAGAGAGAGAGAGAGAGAGAAGGTTGCAATGATTTGCTGTCTTTAAGTTACGTTACGTTAGTCTTTGAATTTCCCGGACTTCAGGACGTTCCGCATAGAATCGATTATGTGAACTGTTATCGATTTCTCCCTGCCTGAGTGACGATGATCGCGTGCACAGCTGAGTGCGATGATCACGTGTTACCAGAAAATTGATGGTGCGTGACTTCCTTTCATTGCTCCTCAGACGTCGATCCCTTCCCACCGCAATCCACAAGTTCATTTTCCTCCACTCCTACCGCAGAGGATGCACAGTGGCCAAAAGCTGACCTACGCATCGTCACGTGACGATCTAGTGCTGCTTCTTCAGTTTACTGGCGATTGTGGGGCACGGTGCAAACAGATTCCTCTCGCGCCATCAATTCCCCGGCAACACTGTATGTATGTGAACGAGAAAAATGTGTGAAGTGTAAGAGAGGATTAGACAATTATTTTGTTTCTTTTTGCCAGTGCATCAACGAAGGCTTTTGAGCTTTTTTTAAATAACCCTGTTTTGTATTTTTTGTTTTGTTTGAAATGTTGAGATACGTATTTGTTCTATTCCTAAACGCATGCGTCATTTCACATAACCATACATAGCGTTTCTGCGTAATCGTGACCTGAGGTCTCTCCCCGTCTGCCGACTCCTGTCCCCGGTTGCACTAAAACGGAGGGAAGGCTCTGGAGCAAAATTACGACGGCAGCGGTCTGCGATCGGCCGCCGTAAAAATCGCGTCAGTAGATCCGAAAGGCTGAGTGCAGCTATCCCGTAGTCGCGGAACCAGGAACTTCTCACAGAAAGTCTGGCTGTTGTTCCGGTAGGGCGCAGAGCGCAGGGTGTAGGATGCACGGTCGGCGGGGAGACAGGTTGCGCGGAGGATCCTTCCGGCTAGACGAGAAGGGAGAAGCCTGCGGAAGGATAAGCACGGGGCAAAGACTTTGCCGAGGAAGGAAGGAACGAGCAAAGAACGGGCCAGAGAGGGAGTCGGCAAGAGAATGGGAAGTCAGTTATTCTTCCGGCTGGCCTACCCTATACTTTCAGCTATTACTCGCTCCGAAAGAGATGTATTCCGCCGGCTCCTCCTGGCCCCACTCATCTCTAATTACAAATCAGAAACAATCCGGGTGGGCCTTCGCCCCAATCATCCCCCGCCCTCATTTACCGTTCGCTCGTTCTCCGGCCACGACTGCCTTTTCCGGTCTTCGCGGCACCAGACTCCTCTCTCCCCCTCTCTCTTCTCTCTCTCTCGACATCCGTCGACTTTTCACCTCCCACTGCGCTCCCGGGAGAGAGGACGCGCCCTTTCTCTCTTTCTCTTCCTCTCCCTCTTTCTGTCTCTTCGTTCCCGCCGGTTTTGCGCCGCGTTTCTATCGCAGCGAGCTGTTTTTAGTCGGCGCTGGTGGTCTTTTTTCCAGGCGGTTTTGCGGCGAGCGAACCGCTCGCCTTTTTTCACCGCCAATCGCACGATGCGGCGCGTCGCGCGTCGCGACGCCCTACATTTTTTGGGGTAATTTGCGAGGGATCGTCGCGCCTATCGAAACGCTGCCGGCGAATTTTTCACCTGGGTTGCGTGGCGAGTGCGTGCAAGACGAATCTCCTGCTTGACATTAGATTTACCGAGTATTAAAAGCGGCTGTTTTTATATTAATTTATAAAAGTAACGATAAAACATTTATTCAGATTTTGAATGGGTGTTACCGTAATATTTGCCGTGAGTAATACATACATTGAACAAATTACTCATAAATGTATCTTCACAATCCGAATAATCGTAAATGAAAAAATTAGCGACCCGTCATTTTGACGTATTACGTAAACCTAGTATTAACGGCGGGGTTCTCAATTTTGTGTGCTTTTGTGAAAGTTCGTGGGGTGAAAGTGAACGGGTGGGTCCTGCTGGATACGGTTTCGGTACATTTTGCTCTTCTGATGCGACATATTGGAATAGAGACAGTTGATGTTAAACGAATAAAACGAAACTCTAAAATTCATTATAATTACGTCTTTGCGTCATCATTTAGAGTATCATTTAGAACATGATAGTTCCAGTGTTAATAATTCGCAACTTGATTAGCAACGCGAAATGAGCAAAGAAAAGAGCAACCGAGGAAAACTAGAATATATTTTTTCTGTGGACAGTGTGCCGGAGGAGAGGAGCAGCGGATGGTGAAGAATTCGCAGGCAATGGCAGCAGGAATCCGTCGCCGGACGATTCCGACTCCGGCTCGCAGAGAGTTCAGTGTAGGTCCGGGGGATCAGGAATATACATATATCGGGGGCTCGAGAGAGGGAGAGCTGGTCGCAGTTCGAAAACGAATTTACCGTTGAACAAGATGGTCCGGGAAACGGTTCGACCTTCGATACCGGAGCCCGGGTCTGGTTCCCGGGGTTCCCGAAGAACTGGAAGAGTACTTATCAAGTTGCGGAGGGCTCGCGCGCGACTTTCTTTTTTGCCCGGTGTGCCCCGAGAGCAAAATTACCTACTTCCACGGGACTATCGGGATCGAGCTCGCGGAGAAAACGGATTTTCACACTTTGCCATTATGCAAATTTCTTTTAAAAAGAAACCATCGCGGGCCGGGCGCTCTCTGTATCGAGAAAAGGGCGGGAGAGGTTGGGACTGTGCGGCTGTGTTCCGTCCGCTCCGAAAGGGAAACGAGCGAGACAGATAGGCGGAGAGAACCTGCTGGAACTGGGAAAAAGCGAGAGAGGAACAAAGACGCGGGGCAGGAAAGAAATATTCCGATAATGCCGGAGGCCTAGAGGAATCCCGTGCCGTGCTAAGCCTGACCCGCGACCGGCGATCGAGCCTCTGTCATTTAGATGGCATCGCACTGCCACGAAATGCCGCATAAAGCTCCAGTTACAATCAGGGACAAATATACGTGAACACCTTTACAAACGGTAAAACTTTTTTCAAACTGGACTAAATGACTTGAATTTTTTTTATGACAGCTGTTTTTTAAATTTTGCTATTAGTTGGAATGTCTAGAAAAAATGAAGTAACTCCGGTTTCTGGAACGAAAATTTAACCCTTAGCGACACAGTACTTTCAATTATTGGCTCGAATGCCGCGCTTGTTACGACAAAAGTCATTTCATTATTTTTATCATTGTATATTTATTTCTCAAATAACTATCCTTTCTCTTCTATACTTGACATAAAAACTCTTTAAATGAAAAATAGCTTGGATCTGACGGTATGTAAACTTGAAACACGTTTGGATCGTTAAGGGTTAAAAAATGCATTTCACAGTTGCAATTTCTGTACTTTCTTCGTGCTTCGTTTAGAGAACAACGTCCACGAACCATTTTTCAAACATCAGAAATGATTCATTTTTACCACATTTGTAATATTCACTATTGATGGAAGTTAATTTCGATGTCGATGGAATGAGAAATATAAACTAAATATTAATTATCTCGAGCCGAATTCAAAAACAGTAAAATTAATTACAGTCATAATTAAACTTAGCATATTTCATAATTGAAAATAGCATAATAATTCAATCATTGTTTGCAAACTTGTTTTAATATTCCACAAACAAGCTACGTTACAGTTTAATGAACATTTCCATAATGAAGGTAGGCAGTGAAAAATATGCTGGTAGCGAATGTGTTGATGTAAAGATTAATTTTATGAAACCTAATGGTTGAACAAACTTCGCTTTTGTTCAGTTTCGTCTCATTCATTGCCTGCAGCATTTTAGCTTACTATTCAAAGGAATAATCGAACAAATTTTTCATTGTTTTTCTTTCATTTTTGCTTGCCATGAATACATAGTGTATCTTTAACACTAGAATCACCAAACCAATCAAAATGACTGGTTTCTAATCTTTTCCTCACAATTACTGATATTATGAAAATGGTTCTATGAGAAGCATATATATATATATATATATATATATATTTTTTAAGAGAATATATTTCTATCGTACGAAATTTAAATAAATCCATTCTTATCAGTGTTATAAAATAATATACAACAGTCGCGTTTACGATTCGGTATTTCTAATGTTAAATAAGGAACGTATGTATAAATTTTGCATCTGCACAAGTATGCTGTATAAATGTCTGCAGGCTTTCCGTTGCTGTTTCGAAATTCTGATTGTTTCCAAGAAATATCAAGCAAAATTAGGATAAATGCTGTCTTGTTATATTCTAAGGATGTAAAGGCTGGTTATGTCAAGGTTAATCAATGGGTCTATCGTTAACGAGTACTCGTCAGTCAACGTTTCTCACCCGTTCCCGTTGGTTCGGAAAGAAACGTTGTCTTCCGTCGAGCTGCTTCGACAGAAATTTCGTCCGTTGGAACCAGAAAGCCAGTTTCGACGGGTCCGTCTCTGTTCGCTAACAGGGAATTATCGACATATTGCTCGGCTCGTGACAAGCGCATGCGAGAAATGAAGGAACCTCGTTTGTAAATTAAAACTTCTGGACTTACAATTAATAACGTCGATTCGAATAATTTATTGTAGACACAAAATTACTCGTAGTATTTTTTGAAATTATCGAATAGAAATAGTTACCGATCGAGATCTACGAAATTGAATGCTTCGTACCAGGAAAATTCCTGGGGACTCGAACGTACAGGGCGCGGAGAATATTGTGTCCTTATATCTGTACAGTTATTTCAGCTGCTTCGGAAATAAGGACACTGCAACTTAATAATTTCTTTTATTTTCTTCATTTCACATTATTTAAATATCTTGATCACTTACTTTATCTTTCACTATATCTTTTCTTTTATCGTATCATCTCTTTTCTTTTTTCTTGATTTCTTTTTGATATTCCACTTGTGCGACATATTCTCATACTATTGTAACACAGGAACTTTTCCCCGTTGATCGAATAAATATTAGTATTATTATTATAATTTAATATTATATATATTTTACCAGTTTAACAACCACATTAATCACAAAACTGAACAATAAAGTTTACATTTTCCTTTACATTTTCCTTTTCCTTTAAATACTCCTTCTGTCTTCAATACATTTGGAAGTTCGAATGCAAGGTGTAAATTCTGAATGAGGTGCACGGATCTCTTGATACATCTGCGTTGCAGAATCCATGGTTGAGAAAACGATAGCACAGCGGATATTCCCATTACGCGGCACCGATGAATATGCAATCAAATTATAATGTTACCGATACAATATTCAAATGTATAAATTATTCGTTAAAATTTCCAGGCGATTATTCAGGAGGAGCCGCGCGAAACGGCGTTATCCACATTCCCGTCACGTGTTCGTATTTAAACAGAAAAAGCAACGCGTCCGCTCTGGCTATCGTTTTATAAATACGAACGCCGACAGTCAAATGACAGACCAGTGACGTCAGGAGTTACTATCGACTCGCCTGTTCGTGGGAACTGGAATAAAATTCTAAAAAAAGGGCGGGACGGGGACGAGAAGACGTTATCCGTGTCTACCAGGCTGTCTCGTTTAAATTAGTCCACAGTTACACACAGCAACAGAGCTTACCGCTGTCTGGGGGCCAATTGTAATTCCTTCCTCTATCTGGCTCGTTCGATTTTTGCTCCGACTTCCCGATTTCGTTGAGGTTCGACTGGAATTTATTACCTGCAAGTAAAACAGACGATGGTCGGAATAAGATCTGACACGCGATCGCAAACGCTGAAATCACAAACCCCCGTCGAGGGCCCATGCAAATCCCAAAGTTCTCCGGGAATCGTTCCATTTTTTATTCGCCGATGTAAAGCAGATCAAAGTTTACGGAAGACTCGAGTTGTTTGTCGAGTTGTTAGAAAATCTTTACGCAGCCCCCCCCCCCAGTCCCGCAATCGAATATTTTTGCAAACTTTCACAGGCAACGCACAGGCAATCGCGTCGCAAAGTTACGGCAAATTTTCGTCGACGACCAACTGTTTCTATCCAGATGGACGTACGAGGACTTTCTTTTAAAGTGTATCAGCTTAGAGATAATTCATATAGTACATTTGAGAGCGGAGTGAGGCAAAACTTTATTCGTATGACGAATAAAATTCGCATTATTCGTATAAAGAATTTTTCGAATTATCCGAATAAAGAATTTTTCGAATTATTCGAGTACAGAATTTTTCGAATTACTAGAATCAAATATTTTTCGAATAAAGAATTATAAATAAATATATACAATAATTTATGATGAATAATAAATTATATTTGAAACAATTGGTATAATACCCAAGTCTGTCTGAAAGTTGCTACAGTTTCTGATACGTCTGATCAAGAACGACTATTTCTACTTGACTCGGCTTACGAGATCGATGACAGGTTATTTCGAAGGTATGTAATTTTAGAAAAAACTGGAACAGCATGTCTGTAAATTAGTACCACTTGTAGAACGTCCGAACAGGAACGGTCATTTTTATTTGCAGTTTCATCGAGATAATGGCCCGGCTTCAAACCACTTTACGACTTAATGTGTTTTTGCCTGTCTCCCACTCAAGAGCTTACATCAATATCATATAATTGCAGCTAATCTAGAACCATCGAGAAATATTAAAATGAACCCTATAGTGCAATCATTTATGGCGCTAGCGATAAATGAAAAGTGCGTCAACGTAGGATCAACATGGGATCATAAAGGAAGCTAGTCTAACAATTAATCAAATTCATCACTTCGAGTGCATTGCAGTATAAACAAACGTCGGATTACTTTTGAATGTTATTAAACTCATTCTTATGTAGTTTTATACAGGGTGTCCTGTACCAGCTAGTGCAACCGGACACGCGCTGATTTATTGCATTTACTATTTATTATTTATTATTTACTATTTACTATTTATTACTTATTATTTATTCCATTCATTTTACGTCAAACAATAAGTTCAAAATATAGAATAAATTTTGTTCATTCGAGTTTCCGTTTTCTTCAAACTCGACGCATCTTCCACCTTTGTTGTCACGGAAACAAAGCCTTAACATTCAACTGGTGGCGTATGTAAGTCTGAGGTCTTATTACTTTGCAAAACAAGCTATAACAAATTTGGTTATCACCAGGAGATTAAATGAAAAAATGTTATTCTTTCTCTTCGACTTATTTTTCGATACGGAATCAGCCACTATCCGGTTGTTGCATGATATCCTGTACTTGTCATTTCGGTGCAAAACGCAATCGAAAAATGAGTGTAGTAGAAAACGAAATTTCATTTTAAAAAAAACTGTAACCAAAAATAGGAACAACTGCGGAGAATCATCAAGGTGAAGTCACCGTTCGACGTTGCATCGTCATTTTGCACAGCAATCGTTTCGTATTCTAATTCGAAACGGAGGCCGACTATGCAGGGTGTCCCATTTGTAGTAACGCAGTCAATTATTTCCTAATCTGTAGCTCGTTTAAAAAAATGTTTCAAATGAACCTTACCCTGTTTCGAGAAGAGCATTCTATAATGGTCCCAAATTATGATGATTCCGAGATTTCAAGGTAACCTTGGTTTTTTTTTAATGGAACTGTTTATTTTTCTTTATGTAAGCAGATAGTGCATTTCTAGGTCGATTCATTCACCTAAAAATGACCTAAAAAGTACCATCTTCCTTCAGTAATTCGTCGTTTAAACAGCATTAAATTGGCTTTGAAACTGGCTCCAGAACTTTCTTTTTCTTTTTCCTAATATTTTCTTTAAAAATGTCATTTAAATTCTTAAAGTTGTGTTTAGTTGCGAAAAGTCCCGTAAGCTTCCGACAGAGCGCAGTAATTGGTTCCTCTACCCTAGGATGTCTCTCTCGAAACAAGATAAGAGTTCGTTTGATGTATTTTTTGGAACCAACTGTAGTTTAGGAGTGCGTTACTTCAAAAAATGCGGTACTCTGAATATCTTCCAAAGGATGATCCACGATCAAGGGTACCCAATAGCCGTTGAAGATCGCGATGCAGCGGTCGCCGGGCAGAAAAACTCTCTGTGGTCTAGATCCTCGCGACTTCCGAGCACGAATGAATGCGCGATGAATCCAAAGAGGCACAAAGGCCGTCGAAACAATGGGGTCGGACAAGGAGGTGGGGGTGTTTGGGGGATCAGCGGGACGAGAGGGTGGAGAGCGGCGGGAACGGGTTAAGAATGAAAGGAAGTGGCCGGAGGTGGAAAGGAAGCCCGGACAAAGGGGACGTACGACGACGAGTGACCCCTTCACTGAAGATGTTTACGGGCCTGTTACGCGTAAAGTGAGTGGCAAACGCGGCAACTAGCATGCAAACTACGAGTAAACACAATTCTGTTATCCTTGGCGTGTGCGTGTGTGCGTGTAGTTGTGTGTGTGTGTGGTCGGATACTCGCGCGCGCAAAGTCCGGTTCGCGCCGGATCGAATTGCGAAATGAAGCCGGCCGGGAACCGACTGGATTCAGTATGGAAAGAAGCTTTCCCGTTGGAGCTTAATACTGCGCGCCGCGCGTAACCTCGGCCGACTAGAAATTTTGTAGTTACAAGCCCGGGTCCATTTGCATACATCAACCCGACCGGGGAAACCGAATTTCGCGGCAGGAAGAGTCCCGTTGACGGGGTTAGCGCCGCACCGACGTCAACAGAATCCATTCACGGATCTCTGGTTTTCTCGTTAGCGTCCTCGGCTCCCTGTCCACCACCTGTGGCCAGAAAAATTAGTCGAACCATCGATCAGCTGCCACGCCTGTCTCCGAGGTTATTCGACGTCTCCCGAATTCTCAGCGGGTCGTCCGTGGACCTTTTCGTAGAAATAGAAGACCTTCGACGCGAAATTGACGAGTGTTTGTAGAAAACAGTGTAAGTATCAAAAATGTAATTTCTCTAGGTGGGAGAGAGGGGACTGCTAACACCGCAGTAGCTTGAGAACGTAACAAAGTATTTTATTTCTTACATTAACCCTTTGCATTCGAAGCGATTTTAATTCTAAATCCAAAACAGTTTCTTCTTTATATGACTTAACAAGTACTGTGTTTGAATAAAAGTGAGTACGAAATTATACAGATTTGATGGCACAAACGTTTTTAATCTTCGAAGTAACATAATTAGTTACACTCATTTTGTCATGTTCCGTTAGAAGAAATATACGACTGCAAAAGGTTAAGGATTGTAGGCTGTTAGCACAATTTTTATTCAAAGGATGATGACTAGATTGCGGATTTTATGCATTTATGACAAAAATTAGAGACTGGATCAAAAACAAAACTGTAAAGACAATTAGAAGAGTTTAAGAGAATATCTATATATGATATACAACTTATTGAAATAATTAAGAGATGAAAGACATTTTAATGATTGAACTTGGAGACGTTTAACATTTTGAAAATTCAAAAGCAGAAAATTAATTCTGATCTATGGAAACCTGTGCGATTTTATTTACGAAGTTACAGCAGTCTAAGTATCAATAATTTGTTATTGACGATTCAGTAATCTTTTGCAAGTGCACAGGATTAAAAACAAATTACCACCCGCTTACTCTTATCGATGCTGGAGCAAATAATCTCAGCTTCCATGGCGAATGCCATCGTGAAACCATGTCGCAATAATCGGTTTTGAAAAGTTGCAATTGAACGAGATTAAAGATTTGTTTCGCGTCGATTGCTTTGCATTGGCGCGCCGATAAAGTTCAGTCTTCGCGACTGTAACCGGTGCTACATCGTTGCATTGTTTGCAGAAAGTTAAGTCGGTGCACCGGCGAATAATGTTAATGTTCATGTGTCCAAACTGGGGCATATTGCTGCAGAAGCTACCCGAAATGTACCGGAAGCTTGGAACAACACCTAGCGAACGTACAACACGTCGCCGGTTTGGGAAACTTTAGGCTCTCGTTTAGGCGAACGCGGGCCTCGACGACCAAAGAGATCGAGAGCATATAATCGTCCTTCCGAGATTTTGTTACTCCTGAAGCTCAATATCCTATGCATTCAACATGAAACAATCCTTCTAGGTCATTGACGAAATCGCTTTCATCTAGAAGGGAGATTTCGGGTTAGAAAACAAAGAAATGCGAAGAGGAAGAGAAATGAAGAGATTGTGAAATGAAAGAACAATCTCTGAGAAAATGATAAAATTTCATTGCAAATTTTGTATAATGAACTTTGTTGGTTTCCTTATGGTTCACAATCTCCTTAACCATCAGATATCGAACAATAAAATCAAATAGAATAGAACAAAACAAGAAAATAAAGTGAAATAAAATAGAATGAAATAAATCAATAAAATAAAATAAAATAAAATAAAATAAAATAGAATAAAATACAACAAATTAAACTCAAAAGAATAAAAAACTTAAAATTACACTATTACAAAACTATTAATACTACTCATAACAAATAAACAAATTCTCTGTACAAGCAAATTTGGTTCTTAAATAAAGTGCAGCAAAAGTAGAGTACACTTTTGATCAAACATAAACCGTTGCGATTTTGTTCCGTGCGATTGACCTGTTCGTAATAAAAGGATCGTGTAAATTGCAAATATTCGACAAGCATCGAAGAGTATAATTTGATTAAAAAGTGAACTGGTCATGTATTCGTACGTATGAACTGTGTTGCGTCAATTTCAGGACGATCGTGTTATTTAGATTAATGAAGAAAAATATGACCGGGAATTGTTTACGATAACGAATGCTCGAACAGATGAAA